GGCGGTTTGGGATGGAGGGCGTGTGCTGCACTTTTAACTGCCCTGGTTCACTGTCAGGAAGCGTTAGCTGTAATTGCCAATGAAGAGTGGAAACGAGAGGATGTCTCCCTCCAGCTCTCAGCCTCCGCTCCGATTAAAGCACTCTCACTCAGAGATGAGACTGTGCTGTTTACGCCGTACTGGGGATTCGAGAAAATGAGTACGAAAAGTGGCAGGAAGACAGTAACTGATGTAGAACCTTCAAACAGATATATGACTAACAGGTGGGAAAGAGGACAAAGCCAGGGGATGAGACCTTTTCAAATGGGACCTAAAACAAAACCACTATCAACACCATTCCCTCTGACTAACCATCTCCCTCACACTTCCACACACTACAGCTGAAACAACACATTACATTTGCAAACGTATGTTAGAAAATGTAAGTATACTGTAAACATATGTTTAACAAAATGTAAGAATTTGCAGCTTCAGTAAACGGAGTATCATTAGGGGGGGTGACTGCATGTGACCAAAGAAATGTGAAGGTGTCAATTGTACTCCTTTTGAAATTGTGCAGACCAGCTGACAAGTTTAAATATCAGTACCTGCAGCACTAGATGAGAGTCTCCATGAAAAATAAGCCAGTTCAAGTTAGTTACTAATTGCCTCCTCACTCAAACGATCAGGTGGCAGTTTTACAGCTTTTTAAAGTTGTTTCAGTCTTTCTGCAAACCGTTTGATCTGTTTTGAGCGAGACAGCATTCTGAGTACGTTTGCTGCCGTCAACCAACCACAGAAGAAGAAGTAAGAAAGTGTATCATTTAAAGGCCATCGATGGCCTTTCAAACTGGAAAGACGAATGGAAAGAGGGGCTGCTGTTAACTGTGGAACACTGGGGTTTCATCTCATTATGCCAATTGTCTATGGGAGAGAATTAGAGTGGGATCTGCAGGAATTATACATGTTGGGGTCGCACATAATGAGCTCTATGTAATCCCCCCACTCGCAATCAAAGGCTGCCAGAGAGATGCAGCCAGGCAGCACACCCATGTAGACGTGCACATAAACACACACACACACTCCTCTTGTGCCCTTATAGAGCGCTGCCATTGAAAGCCACAGTCAAGCCAGACTGTCATCGCTTTGAAATGAGCGTCTGCAATTGAGTGTTAACAGCGAGCAAAGTGCCAAATTACACAGAGTGGAGGATTAACGCAGGAACGGACAGATAAATGAACAGGAGAGCGAGGGGGAGAGGGAGAGAGAGGGAGAGAGAGAGCGGGGGAAAGAAAAGCAAAGTGTCGAAGTGAAGAGAAGTGCTCAGTAATGAATGAGAGGCAAGTGGAGGATTTGGCTTAGAGCAGTAGGCTCTGTACATTAATGTTGCACTGTAAGAGGAAAGAGGGGAGAGCAGAAAGTACCGGAGGGATTTACAGAGCAGGGAGATGTTACAGCACCACCCTGTGGGCAACATAAGGACTGCAGCAACTACAACTGATGGAATGAGTTGAGGTTGAATGTGCGACTTGTTCCAGATTTGTTTTATGCATCTCTAATTAGTAATGCACAATCCTCCTTAATAATGTCACTTGTAACCAGGGTGTGTGTGTGTGTGTGTGTGTGTGTGTGTGTGTGTGTGTGTGTGTGTGTGTGTGTGTGTGTGTGAGGGGGACAGACTCACTCAGTGTGTCCCTGGAAGACGTTGACGGAGTGGATGGACGGGTCTCTGAAGTCCCACAGTCTGAAGGTGGTGTCTCTGGAGGAGGTGACCACCAGCCGCTGGGTGGGGTGGGTACAGCAGTGGGTCAGCTCCTGGTCGTGGCCTGCACGCACACACACACACACACACACACACACACACACACACACACACACACACACACACACACACACACACACACACACACACACACACACACACACACACACCCACGCACACACACACACACACACACACACACACACACACACACACACACACACACACACACGTTAATAAGGTTCTCTTTCAAGTGTTGAATATAATGATGTTGTATATCCGGTCCATTACATTTCTGTAGAACAATCTATCTGATTGTGTAGTCACACTAATTAGAGGGAAGAGCAGATCTTCCTTATTTTGGGGGGGAACAAAAATAAAAAGTGCTCCATAAAACGAAAAGGCTGCCATTTAGTCTCACTAACTCGCTTCCTGTTCACTAAAGGCTACGTTCAAAGGTACATGTGGGCATTTAGACTAATGACACAATCATATGGATCTTTATACTGAACTAAAAAGACTATAGATGTTTTATGTCTTTTCAGAAAGGTAGTCACTGTAAATGATAGGGTGAGACAAAGGTTGCATTGTGTTGCTTTTCATTTGGTAACGATTTAAAATATATTTGTATCTGTTGTGCAAAGTGACAGCAGAAGAAGATAATACATACTCAATGCAATATCTGAACAACTCATACATACTTGAAAATGTAATGTATATAGACTACACAGTATACGCACTAAGTTAGAATGTGTCAGTTTACGTACCAGTGAGAGCGTGAACCAGTTCAGACGTCTCCACTTCGTACAGGTTGGCAGCTCGATCCCAGGAAGCGGTCACCACCTGTCGGCCTCCCACCAGCCAATCGGCAGCGATCACTACCCCCTGGTGGCTCTTCAGGGTTGCTGTAGCGACCCTGACAGTGGGGACCTCGCAAGGACCCTCACCGTCCACCTCCCCTTCCTCTCTGTCTGAAGAGTCCTGGTCCTCATCACATGGGGCCTATGGGGGGGGGGGGAGCAAAGGACAACATATTAGTTTTCTGTCATTTAATTCTGCACATATTCCACAAAGTCTGGAGATTACTGACGCTAAACTGTCTCTTAGGAAAGTCTGATTCTACCTGCAGTGATACAGATATTTGCACTTGTACTTAATATTCAGTGACTTAATTCATCTTTTCGATGTTAAATAAACCTCTTAAAACGGCATGACATTCCAGGATGCACAAAGGTACTCACACTGACGTCTGGAGTTGGCTGGGGGACAGGAAGCTGCACCATGTAGCGCCAGATGTGAGCCGTCTGGTCCCCAGAGGCTGTGGGAACAAAAGCACTCATCAGCAAACACACATTCAGATCCACTGCAGGAGAGACAGCAGCAGGGAGAAGATGGTCCAACAGTCGGATGCACAAAGATCTGGGTCATTTACCAACATAAACACTTTAAATAAATACCTGTAAGTGCCATTTGCTCTGTGGGGTGGAACTTGATGGAGTTGACTGGGGGCGAAAGAACAATTATGTTATTAATGTCACATCAAATGTTCCTATTATCTCACAACCCAAGACACACTTTTCCATATAACATTAACCTATACATTTGAATTAAACGAGTTTAACAAAGAAACACTGTTTTGAGTCTCACGGTTAATTACAAATGATTAAAGTTCCTTTCAAGTTTTTACCTGATCCTGCATGGCCAGCATACCTCAGCAGACACTTCCCAGTCTCTATACTCCAGAGCAAAGCCGAGTGATCTGTGAGGGGAGCAGGACGGGGACAACATGAAGCCGTTTACATTTTTATAGTAAGTTAATAGCGCCGGTAATCAAGTCAGCTATACAACACTTTATAAGGAACACCAACTTGGACGTTTATTCCAAGCAAATACAGAGTTTGTAGAGTTTCTTACAATGTCATATAATGGAAATAAGAATACAATCATGTTTTAAAAAATACAAAGTCTTATCAAATATCTAAACTATTAATTATTATCTAATGGTGTAAATATTGCATACATTGCCTTTTGAATGAAAAAGCACTTTGATCATGTTGGCTGTGTACAGAACCCGGTGGCAGTGGTTGACAGATAGTCCTTTAAGAGAATGTGTGTACCTGCGGAGGCGGTGCCCAGCACCACAGGCACGGTGCGGGTGATGCTGAGGTCCCAGATCCCGTCGCGGTGGCCCATGTACTCCTTGAGCAGCTGGCACACAGCCCGGGACCCCGCGGTGGCTTTGAAGCTGGACACAATCTGAGCGGGGGGGGGGGGGGGGGTCGGGGACGGGGATGGGGGGGAAGAGAGAAGAGAGGTGGGCATGATGGAGAAAACAACGGACGAACGATGAGCTTTTCTCCTGGAGTAGAACTAAAGTAAACAAGGAAGAAATGTAGGTAACAGTTGCACCAATACTACGATTTTAGAATTGATGGGTATAATATTTATTTTGAGAGAGTTGGCCAACAGCTTATGTGTGACTTATTTTAAAGGCCTACTATGGCACGATTACAGAGACACCTGAATCAATAGGGTTTACTATTTGTGTTATATAATATAAATGTATAACTGAAAGCTGGCTATTCCTTATTTATTTATGGTATTACCACGGTTACAAGTATTACATAACCATACCGTAAGACTAGAAAGATCATAACTTGTCAACTGCTCTCTTTTAAAATTTGAATTATACTTCCTACAGGATACAGGATTCCAACGGAGAGATACATTGACGATAAATTGAGAAAGAATGAATAACGCTTGAAAGATCAAATATAACTTTGCTTTTCATGGTAATCATTTCAGATCGAAGAAACATTTTGCACAACTATGTGTTCAGTCTAGATTTAAATCACAGACTAATTCATGGATATTGTAGCTGCATAGGTTATCAGCTCATTATGAATGCAGTATGTCAGTGGGATTAGCCTTTCATTGATTTTCCTCATTACTTGTACTATGTGGAAATTATTCCTAGTGTTTTAGCACTTCCAAATCTATGTGCCACAAGCACTGCAGACAATGTTTCTGCAACTGTGTGTGTCACGCACGTATACATATCAAGCCTACTCTAAAGCCAATTCAAGCTTCATCAGAACACTGATACTGTACGAGTGGGGCACCTCTAAATATATAGAGGGGTCTTGTTACACATGGCCTGAAGTCATTGCAGGTCAGCAGATGAACAAATGAAAGGGTGAATCTGAGTCACAAGATGCATTGTGCATGCTGCTGCAATAACCTCAGCAATAAGCCTCGATCATTGGTAGTCATTAAATGCAGCAACCAAGCATCTGGTTCCCCTGTGTGAGGTGATCCTCTCACTCAGCTCACAGGACAAACACAACCTTATCTGCAATCAATGAGCAACAGGAAAATAGCCCATTCCAGTCAAAGTCACCCCAGAGGTAAGGGTAGAGTTAGTTAGTGCAGATCATTAGTTCAAAGAAGTCTTACCAACATTAGCTTTCTGTCATGTTTCTTAGCCAGCTGATGGGTTAGCTGTTTATTACATAGCAGCTAGTTCTGTTAATTCAGGAAGTTCTCCCTCGATCCTATGTATCCTCTTAAGGAACTTTTAAATAAATCAGAACAGGATTGTATTCCACTCTTCATGTAGCTCAGACTTTGAGGGGCGAAGTGGAACTTGGTAGGAAAATGAGGTAGAGAAGTTCATGTTGGCATAATTTGTTTCTGTATTTTAGTTTTTTAAGGAAATAACATTCATTCATACATTAGGCATAAGCAACAGCGGCAAACAGAAATAACTAGAATATACACTAAAGAATTATTGGAACACCAGATGTAAGAAAAGGCTTTAATATGCGCAACAAAGCCCTTCATTAAAGGAATAGGAAGTAACTTGGGTAAATCACTTCTTGCAGAGTTAGATAAGAAGATGTGTCTGTTTTGGGCTTTTTTTTACAAAGTGTATATCCTGGAATATTTCTTATCTAAAAGCAGTTGCCAGGCAACTAGCGGAGATGCCAAGTTATTGGGCAAGAAATAGTACGGTACACTCGATTGATTAAAAATGCCACATATAACAAGTTAAATCACTGCGTATTTGAGATGCTGGTACTAGGCAACGTTAACTTAGTATTTAGCTCAAAGACATGCAGGGGGTATCGATTTATTTTCTTCGCCAACTCTCAAACTGTCTAATTAACTCCTAACTAACTTTGAACTGAAAGTTGCTTAGTTTGAGGCCAGTCTGTCTAAACGGGCTAATGATAAGTGAGTCAAGGGGCGACTAAGGAAATGGATGCCATGCTCACATTTCAGAAAAAAACAACTTGAGTGACGACACTTCCAAATGTTTTTGGAAGTGTTTTATTAATGCATTTAGGAATGCAGCCGACCCCCCACAGGCCTTCTGACAGGGTGCAGAGCAGAGAAGAGATGAGGCGTCAGCTGGCCCTCACAATGCTTAGTGACCAACAGAGCATTCAGGAAGTTACCCATGAATCTCCTCCCCACAACTCGCATGAGGCCACACGGAAGTTGCGAGGTCCACCTATTTTGCCGTGGAAAGTGTACAAGCACTACATAGGCAAGAGATTAAAAAGGAAGAAATCAAGGGAATATTTCATTTAATAATACAAAATAAAGTTTCCTTCACTTCCTGTAAGTTCAAAAGTCTTTATCCAAATGCATAAGCACTTTAAAAACAAATTCAACAGTAATGATTCTTGGTCACAGTTTCATTTGTGTACCTTTACATATCATGACCTCAGGGGAAGAATACAAAGACTTCCTTCTGCTCACTCAGCAACAAAGGGGCTTTTGATAGTCTGTGACCATAACCCCCACAGCTCAAATAATTACACAGATGACAAATCTTATGAGCTCTATAAAATAAGCTAAAATAGCAGGTACCTTGCTGGTGGAGGCTTTGTAGGTCGTCTTCAGCTTCTGTGACAGTTGGCTGGTGCTGTGGCTGGCTGGGAGACGGGAAGAACAAAGAAAACAATGAAGGGAATTAAACACTGTGGCATTGGTTGGTTTCACTGCTGCACTAATAGCCTTATAAAGTGTTATAGTTGTGCACACCACACCACACCATAGGGTTGTTTCATAAAACAAGAGAATTGGTTAAACAAGGCTTACTTCAGCAAACCTGGCTTTACCTAAGTTACAACGGAACTCATCCCAGTTTTTCAGGTTTAGCTTCATGTCAATTTTACAATGCAAGGTTCCTCTTTACCTATTCATTATTAACATGAGTTGATGACATCATTATGCACAGAATGACAGCCATTGTGTTTTTAAATATTGTGCAACAATGGAATGAGATATACACTTAATTTGAGAGCCACCCATACATAGTTTTCCTTTTAATTTCAAAAGATGCAGAAGTGTCTGTTCAGAATATTGAGATCAGCAACCAATTGTGAAAACATTTTGCACCTTTTGTTTTGAGAGCCCCCTTGGTGGGGTCTCCTCCATCAACAGTCTGTCCATCTCCGGTCAGACGCTCGTTCAGAGAGTCGATTTCTCGGCGTACTGTAATGTTAGCACAGTGAGAGCATCAGTAAGCAAACAACGACACCATCTGGTCCGTCAATCAACACCTGAAGATCAATTCACCAAGGTATGTTTCATAGAAATCTAAATGCAATCTGAATATATTTGCCGCACTCTCTCAATCTGATACTTACATTCAATGTTTTCAATGTAGAGATTTTCAAACTCTCGCTCAATCTGGCCAAAAAGGTCAAGGAGATTGTGCCGTAGAGAGAGGGGCAGCTTAGAGTCCTGCAGAGGCAGAGCAGAAGAGAACAAGGCTTGAATGAACCTGATGGTAAACTGACATATAATACATTACAAATCCCATTGGTGTATGGAGCAGTCGTCCTCCCCTCATATCCCTCTGCAGTGTGGTGTTCTCTTTTACTTATAGTGGGTCAAATTTGAGCATTTCAAATGTTCAAAATTGAACCATCAAAACAGAATGTGGCTGACAGGTCCAACATTTTTTGGAAAACAAACAAATCGAAAGCAACCTATATAAATCTCATGTCAAACACAGCCTGTGTGTTTACGTAATTTAATCAGCTACCAATTGCGTAAAATCTCATCCAAAATTTGAGCTACATAACAAGAGCCAGGGTCCAACCAACACATTTCATCTGACTCACCTCCATGGTAAACTCATAAAAGCACCCAGTTATCTGACCACCAGTCTACACCACACTAGCATCCAAAGACACGTAAAAAGCTTGCCAAAAAAACAAGAGGTTCCAAAGGCTGCATTTGACAGCTCGCCTTAAGAGCGGCTGCTTTCTCTAGCCATCAGAAAGCCGTGGAAACCAAACACTTGACTGTCACTCTTTCTCCTGGCACACGTCCATGACCAAGAGTTTGCGAGAGTGACGTTAACCGCCTGACCATTCTGTCGGAGCCTCATGTAAACACACTTCACAACGGCTGCCTGTTGTTTGCTTTTTAGAAAGCTGCTTAGTTGTGGCCCTAAAACCTGCAATGTACTCTGGATAATAATGACAGCATTGATGGAAGGAAACTGCATTTTGTGTATGTGGAACTTTTGCTGGGGGGTAGACTAGGTACATAAACAGAGCCAGCATGTCTTGGCAATAGACAAAAAGGCCTGGTGAAAAGACTAATCAGCCTTGGACAAGCGGCCCATATTAAAACTTGATGAGACCACAAGCCGGTGCAAACTGAGCTCTAGTTTTAAGGGCTGATGATATACGAACATTGTCTAACAGAGAAAGTTCATCTGAAAGAAAATAAAGCACCAAATACAATGTTTTGCCGTTCATTCAGTTAAATCTCCCATGACAGAAATACATGATGATATAATCGAGAACACCTTATCAGAGATAACTCTAAATAGGGTCACCCTTAAGCCAACTCCCAACAGTAATAACCAGGATGTTCTTGATCAAACAGAAACAGCTTTTTATTATCTCAATAGAAAAGAGACTTGACAGCAACTGGTTTGCACCAGGAAATACCTGCTTAAAGTCTTTAAAAATCAATTGTAGCTCTCATTTAAATAACCAGTTTGGTTAGTTAATCACTAACTTGACGGGACCAGTAGGATTAAAAAGTCACAGTAGATCCCTTTGTTTAAAAAAATAAGAATATAAATCATTAACCACGTGTAAATGCAGCACACGAAATGTTCAAAAAATGCCAAATCAAGATGACATTGACCTGAACTGAATACATTTTAATCCAAATTCATTGAGATGCCTAAAAAACCCTCCCATTTGCACAGAGAGGAGAAACCACATCTCGTAAATACAGAGCAGTATGGAGCTGTGAATGTTACAACACCAGGTACAAAATAGAAGCAATGCTTCTCAACCGGCTGGTACTGTACTCACATGACAAAAAACATCACCAGGAAAATGCTAATTAATAACGAAAAACATTCTGGTATGTATTTTTTGGGGCACGTCCAAAATAAACATTGTGCGTCTGGATTACAAAATATGTTCTCACACGCTTTATAAGCATGATGTGATGCCAAAATACTTGTGTGCTGCTGTCAGAGTGTGCTTGTGTGTGAGAAAGCAAGAAATGCCAGATGTTTGTGCATGTCGCTCACCTGGCCCTCCAGCATGTCTCCTCTCTGGATGCCTGCTGGCCTCTCCTCGGTGCTGTTGGTGCGCCGGATGGACAAACTGTGAGCCTTGCGCTTCTGCTTTGGGTGGCGGGCAGCCGAAGCAGAGCCGCTGCTGCTCCCGCCCTCCACAGGCATTCCTCCTACCGTACGGTGGCCCTGCCCCTCCCCGCTCACCTTAGAGGCAGGTAAACAAAGGCTCTCTAGTTGGCTCGTGTGTAGGTTGGTATGTTATCACCACCTGTCTGAAATTAAAAAAGGAAGTGACGTTCAGGCTCACAGTCACTGCAGGAACAGTTCAAGGTGAAAGGACGCCTTCCCTGTATTAATACACAGTAATTCAACTAGATATTTTAGATTAAGGGTGCTTAGTAGTTACAGTCTTGCTCTGGTACTAGCTGCTCTAAAACAACATTTAATGCGGTCACATGTCAAGAAAGCAGGCTTTGCTTATAAATATAACGTGCACTTTTTAGAACCTGAACTTAGAAATTCTACATTTGAAAAAGTAAAGTAAGTACAATTAAACCTCTTTTCAAAGGTAATTAATCTTACTGACTACTGCCCACTGTTGTTGCACATTTGACAGTATCTTAAAGGTCGTTGCATGCTAACACATGTTCGGACTGTGCATGTTGGTGCTCTTGTTATCATGGCATAGCGCCACATTTAACATTATAGTCAATGGGACAATGGACAACATATTTTAGCATAGCATTATGCAAGACTGAAACCGTGTATTTAACGCTGAGTAATTACTGCCCATGGAAAATGTAAGTGGACATTATCGTAACGCTTGCAATACAAATATGTAACGCAGCTTTCATGCCATGTGACCGTACACTTTAGGCGTGTGACCTTTCACCGATATTATCTGAAATATTACGAAACAAGGAAGAAACTCACCACTGTCACTGATTCACAGCCAGAAAGGCGGTTTACAAACAAAATGAGCAACAAGCTAGTGCATGCTAGCTTTCACATATGATGCTAATTGCGGCAACTAGCTACCGTCTATGAAAAACAGCAGCCTAACCTTCCTTACTCGGTATGATTATATGGAAACCTATCGACGTGTCACGTTACATGTTTTTCGGCGAATTGACAGTGGACAATAACGACAATTTCAGAATCAAAATATTTATCCGAATGTTGACACATCACGTATTTTACTGGGACACCGATTTCCGTATCACATGGTTTGTGTTTGCACTGTGTAAGCCAATGGGCAGTGACGCCGATGCTAAATCATCGAATCAAAACCAGTGACCTCAGAAGCAGGCAGTGAAAGCTAAGTGGCTCGACCACAGTATTTGGCTCTGAAATATCGTCGTAGACACATGCAAAGTACGACATTGAATTCACTTGAAACAGGGAAATTGTTTCGTAAGTAATTAAGCGTGTTATCGGTTTCTCAGTAGGTTGTGTATGTAGCAATCAATGCATACTTATGTTCAGATGTCAGAGGCCTGGATGGTGCGGGCTGTGCAGTGGTATGATGGCGTGTTGACTGTGTCTGAAGGAAGACACGAAGTGGATTACTTAGAACGGGACATTAAGATCATACTATTTTCCACTGAATGGGTTCTTCTTGTTAATGCATTAGTGAGACTTACTACAATATTGCTTTGATATACACTTAGTGGCCATTTAAATGAACAAAGTACTTTTACTTTAGAACCATGTACATACTTCCTCCATCACAGAAGATTCTCAATTGTTGCATGGATACATAATAATAATAATTTGTTACAACCCCTATGCTGTATAGTAAAATACATATGGGTTTAATTAATCATAAGCATGTAGTTAATGTGTATAAAACATTTGAAAGCTCAACCAAAGTGTACCCTCTGCCTGTCTGCCCTGACTTCAGTCCACAGGTATCATCAGCAACGTAACTTCCGGTCCTACCTGAGTGAAATCCTCTCCAGGTTTTACCTTCGTTCACCCGCTCAGACCTTGTGATTGGTTTTCTGTTTATGTCAGGCGATGGTGCGGGGAGTGTGGGCGGTGCTACGGATGGTTTCCACCAAAAGGAACCCTGTGCTTAAATCAAACGTACCTGGTGCTTCCAGAGTTGAGCAAAGACATATCTACACTTCCTGCGTCAGAAATATTTCAAGGTAAGCTAGTGCTATTTAATGTAGGTTTATAGAAGGCATTGTTTACGTTTGTGAAGAGCAAAGCAAGAGATAAGCCTAAGCTAAGACATGCTGCTTGTGCTATTGATAGCTGACCTACACTAAAACCTGTCTCAATAGTTCGGATAAATGTCATTGCCTCACATGAAATAAAGTCATGCCAAATTCTTATTTAACAAACATTGTATTCATAGGTTTGCGTATTAAAGTACACACTTTTACAATAGCAACTCGACACTTGGATATATTCTCTTCAATACGGTATACATTACAAACATTACATCAAGGCAAGCTGCATTGACAGCAATATTATTTTAACATGTACATTTCTAACGTAAAACTAAGGCTCACAAGATAAGATATATAGCAGCATGGCATGCTGTATCAAAAATATAAGTTTAATAGTTAACGCCCACCTAAAGTAAAGCGCCTGAAATGGTACCATTGCTATTTTTTGTATAAATATTTACATTCTTACTATTTTTGAGTATTTGACTAAATCAACAATATGAAAAGCTTCACTTGGACACTATGAAGTTGATAAGGGCATATTGCATTTTCTGTAAATGTAATTACAATGTAATTAAATGTAATTGTTATGTATTGCTAACAATATTTTTGCAGAAACCACACCATTAAATATATTTTGCTTTGATTATGTTTTGATTTACTTCCTATTTTAAAATGAAAGTTCAGTCCTAAACTTGAAAAGCACTCAGGGTCCACTAACACGTTTTTTTCCCCAGAGCTTTCAACTGCATCTTGTAGTTTTCTTCAGTCTTTCTATGAAAACTCCAGAAAAACGAGTGAACAGCAGTTGGCTTTGTTGGTCAAGTACTACCTACTGTGTTACTGAAGGTTCAAGACTGTCACTTTGGAAAATATGCATTAAATGAATGTTTTCTGCATACTGCCCCTCTTCCTGTATAGTGAGGTAAAACCCCTACAGTCAGCTGTCAGAATGCCTGAGATAACCACAGACCACCTGGACGAGAAGCAGGTGAAGCTTCTGGCCGAGATGTGCATCCTCATCGACGAGAACGACCACAAAGTTGGAGCAGAAAGCAAGAAAAACTGCCACCTGAATGCTAACATTGACAAAGGTACCTATCTGGACACACCTGTCTCGCCTCAAGTGCATAACTTGTTTCAAATGTGTACTTATAGTAAATTGTTTGTCTTTCTAGGTCTATTACACAGAGCTTTCAGCGTGTTCATTTTCAACAGTGAAGAGAAGCTGCTCTTACAACAGAGGTCTGACGCCAAAATCACTTTTCCAGGTCAGTGACAATTGTATACCCCAGTTTAACCATTTCCAAAAATACTCGTGGGTGAATATAGCATGGCAAGATGATTAAGCACTGATGTTTAACCCTCTCCTGTGTCTGTACGTAGGCTGCTTCACAAACACATGCTGCAGTCACCCTTTACACACAGACAGTGAGCTGGAGGAGAAGGACGCAATTGGAGTGAGGAGAGCAGCTCAGAGGAGACTCGAGGCTGAACTGGGTATCCCCATGGAACAGGTAAACCGCATGTGTTGAAATCCTGACTCCTGAAATACTGGGAGAGGAATCTTTCCTTGCATCTGATCGCCTTTTACTTCCTGTTGCTCCTCAGGTGACACCAGATGAAATGACTTATCTGACAAGGATCCACTACAAAGCCCAGTCAGACGGTGTGTGGGGAGAACATGAGATTGACTACATCCTCTTCATGCAGAAGGTAGCACTGTTCGACTTAGGGTTAGGATATCTGGCCCGTCTTTGTAAATCATAGATAACATCTCTTTGTTGTCCTTCTGAAGGATGTGGATTTGAGTCCAGACCCCAATGAGATCAAAACCCACTGCTATGTGAGCAAGGAGGAGCTTCAGGAGATGTTGGAGAAGGCAAAGCGCAAAGAAGTGGAGATCACACCCTGGTTCAGCCTCATCGCAGAGACCTTCCTCTTCAAGTGGTGGGACAACCTGCACAACCTCAAACAGTTCATGGATCACAACAAAATCCACCGCATGTAAATAAATAAATCAGCATGGGGCCATAACTTCAGTCATTTCAAACCCTAAAGCTGTGTCACTGGCTATTTGTTGCCATGGTAGTAGCAGGTGAAATACTTTTACACTGAAAAGGTAGAATGTTTGTCATGCTAAATGCTAGAGGAAATGTCGGTTTGTAGCTCTGAGGTATACGCATGTGAACTGATGCAAGTAAAGTGACTCTTAGTCTTAAGGATTTTGAAAAAAATACATCATATAATCCATTCTGAGTAGCTACACTCTGGATTTACAGACTCAACAGAAAGACATCATGTTATGATAAATAATAAATCCTATCAATGTTGAGAAAAGGCTATTTTTTTTATACAAGAACTTAAGTGCCTGAGTCCAGGTTATTAGGTTGAGAGGAATCTAAGTACTGATGGGATGTCTCGGCAACAACTCACTTCTGTATATTGTCAATGATTTCACTGAACAACCTTTGCACTCTTTTACACAAAGTGTTTGTGTTCATTGGCAGAAGACGGCTGTGTTTTTGAAATGATGGCAAAAGAACACCTTGGCATCACCCTGTAGAATTGCATTAAAGTGTTAAATAAAATTCAAGTTCAATTTGTATTGTATAAGAGCTGCTTTATTGGGGGGGTGCACTTTCTGTATGGAAACACTTAAGGCACATCACCTATTTCTAATAGAGCACTAAAGCCGATACATCAGATGCTTATTTATAGCTTTCATTGTACAACAATTAAATTGTAACAAACAGTTTTGTACTCGACATGCAAAGATTACATTAAGCAGTACTAAATCTAGTTTCCAGGAGGAAATGATTAATACTGAAATAAGATAAAACATAGTAAATCAAAGGTCGATGGCCATATCGTTGGAAAAGTAAATCCTTACTTGTTAGTCATTGTGAAGGGAACGGCCCAATGGTGTGTTAATCTAAATGTGGAAGCCAAAGTACAAACTGGCATAATGGTAAACTACACTAACTGAGTGATGACTGGCACAATACCTCATAACAAACTACTAATTTGTAGCGATCACAATATTTCAGTTTCATACTTTAAGGTATACATAGCTCTGGTTTACACAGGTCTATAACTACAGAGAGTTTGGCATTCATTAGGTAAAACCTCACAGTGCATAGGGAAGCATGTGCATCAGAGAACATTAAGGCAATATGTTCTCTATGTGCCAAAACAGCAGCGTCTACATATCTACTTGGCAATAATGCATGTACACGATTATGCTAGTCGTGCAGCAGGCATTTTGCTAATGATATACAAATTATTTGTGATATATTTTAACTATCACACCAGTTTCCCATGCATTTGTTGATGCCATAATTAAAAGGTCATCTTAATGCCTTTAACAGCATTATTTTTAGTCTCGTGCTGAAGCCATCAAACGAGCATAAAAGTAAACTGCGCACTCTCATGATGAATTAAAAAAATATAATGTTTCTGCAATGTGAATGTATTTTGCATATGTATCTTGTAAAAACAATGAATGGTTAAATCTTTGTGCAGTTCAAATGACTAGTTTACTACTACTAACTATTTTCATAAGTAATTCCCTGCCCAATAACTTATTATTTAAAAGTTAAGGAATGATCGGGTTTTAAGTTGCACTTGCACTGAGTAACAGCTCAAATGACCACATGGATGCTAATATCTAACTAAAGCTACGTCTATTTTGACACTTAAAAAAACACAGGTTGGTCAAAAGTGTGGAGTGCTTGTTGTTAAAAGTGTTGTGTGTGGAAAGAAAAAGGTTTAGTTAGGAAAGTGTAGGAAGGAAATGTGTCTAATTGCCGTTTAAGCTGAAGCTGGGATCTGCTTGTAATCTGCAGGAGATGTTTGTTAGTTTCCGTGAAGCATCAGTTGGTCGGAGCAGGGGTCGGAGCAGGGGTCGGTGCAGGGGTCGGTGCAGGACTGGCTTTGGGTGGAGTCAGCTTCATGATATTGAAAAACTCCACCAGCTGACCCGGTACCTCTGCCAACACACTCTTGGCCAGTGCTTCCCGAGGACCCTGAAGGGTAAAAAGAAGAGTTTAAAAAAAGTACAGTGAGGTGCACACGGATGAGAAATGTATTATGAAGTGATAATTATAACAACTGATTCAATTAAATGAAGGAAGCAGGGATGAGATGAGAAAGTCATGCAGATGAGCTATGTTCCACCCTTTGAAATACTAACTATTAAAGGGTGTCATTTTGCACAGTGACAGCAAAGGCAATACCAGCAGCAATATTGTTTTATCTTGTCCTCTTACTTTTGTCAAGCTTCAACCTAATTCACTTTGGAAACAAGCTGAAGATTCAAACGGTCACGACATATTGATGACCAGTGACTGAGTAGTGTAGTACTACAGAACACATTTTGATGATTGTGTGCTCATTGTGGATTGCAAACGTGCATTAAACAAACCAGCCATACCAACAGTAGTTTAGTTGTGGGATAGGTCTAGAAAGAAGGCCTTTAATCCGAGAAAAATCGCACTTTTTGCAAATATCATGCTAGTGTTTTAGCACTTTCTCCACTAGATAGATGACTGAAAACTGTATCCCTAACTGGTGTGTTTTAGTGAACTGGAGAGCGCTTTAAATTTAAACAAAAACACGAAACTTGATCAATCTTATCAAACCGGACAAAAGACAGAAAGTACAACATCATGCATTGTACTGTCTTACTTTAAGCCAGTGGTTCACCCTCTATGAAACGTCAAGCTACCCCACAGCACCCCAAAATAAATGTCTGGCGCTGCCACTGAGCCTGACTATTTGTGTTGGGGGGGCCCGGCTTTTTTTTTTTCTCCAAAGGGGGGGCCTGACAGAAAAAGTTTGAGAACCACTGCTTTAAGCTGACGAATGATCTTTGGCAAAACAGAGGTGAAAATGTTGAAAGGAACACAGCAAAGTAAAAGAAACAATGAGGATAGCAATCACTACATGTGATGAGTCGTGCGGTGAGGCGGTTAATCATGTATGCCAAGCAAAGACTAGGGTGGTGGAGGGTTTTATGACTGAAATATTTGGGGTACCCCTATGAAGGACTAGGATCTCGGGGAGGCTTCAGTTTGAATAAACTGAAGAAGGAGGCCACTTGTTGAGGTAACTCGGCCAATACGCTCTGGGCAAGAGCCTGGCAGGGCGCCTGAAAAGAGATAAATACACAAAGTACACAGAGCTAAGTGAGATCTAGGTGGATGGGCTGGGAATCCCTGGGTTTGTGCATATATACCGGCATTGGATGGAGGAACTATTATATTAAGTTTGGATTGGCAATTTTAGAAGCAAGTTAACTTAAAAATGACGCAGTGGGATGCTTGGAAAAAAGTCTGAAATGCATGCAGTTCTTAAAAGAAATTTCACAAGATAATTTTCTGAAATGTAATGACTAATGTATAGCAATCATTTTTACAAGAGGTATTGTCACGGTGACTTACCTTTGCGAACTGCCTGTATGGCACAAACTGGACGATGTCTCGCATGGCGGTCTCGCCGGTCTGAGAGCGCAGACGTCCATCGTCTCCATCGAGGAACTCCATGGCGGTGAAGTCCGCCCCCCCTACTCCGATGATGATGATGGACATGGGCAGACGAGAGGCGTTGACGATGGCACTGCGAGTTTCATCCATGTCTGTGATCACTCCGTCAGTGATGATCAGCAGAACGTAGTATTGCTTTGAAAAGAAGATCATTTATTAATTGGCAAGTTTTAAATAAAGACTAAAATGCTTCTTACATTGTCATATGATATGATCGAGATGTTCTAGATTTGTCCCTTCCAATTCCTTCAAAAGGTCAGGAAATGTATTTTAGAAACATCAAACCTGATTTTTAATGAGCTGCTGTCAATGGGCTCTATCCACATGCAGTTAGGGCAATGAGACACTCGGAATGAGAGCATGTGACACACCTGAGTAAATATTTAAAACTGACTAGAATGAATATTTCACTTAGCTCTGGCATTATGTCAAAAGTTAATGATACCTGGAATAAAGGGTTTCAGATGTATCCAGCTATTTTTAAGTACACAACTCAAGGTAGGGCCTCTCCTGAGCAGACACATCTGATGCAATACATTGGATATATATAATATCATCTGAAAATAGTTTCAATGGGCAATCCCTTTTGTTGGGAAAATACTGACTGTACTCTTCTAATATCAGAGTAGCACATGATAACAAAGGCCCTACGTGGCTGTGCACGTAACCGGACGTATGATTACCTAGAAGAGCGTCAGGATCTGTTTTAGGCATATGATAGCTGTGGGACAACTATTAACATGAAGATTCAGCCTCTATGGAGATAGACATATGACTGTCATGTTTATTGCTTACGCAGGCCTTAGCTAATCTGAACTAAGCATAGAATACTGCTTTGAACCGGTATTCATGCATCTTGTGACTGTAACACCCTCTCTTGTATATAAAGCATCTGAAGGACACTGTTCTGGGAAGTATTTGTCCCATGCAGCTCTGTATGTGATGACTACTTCCATTCTTGGAAGGATAATAAATACATGTATTCTGATATTGAAGCTCACGCCGGTGACGAGTGATATTTTTCGTAACACTTTTGGTATCAGCCATAAACCCCTGTTGCTCTGGTTGAGCTTCTATCAAATCATCCCATTGTGAAAATGATACATGGAGATCTACTTTATCTGTGAAATATGGAGGGTCTATATGTGCATGAAGGGCAGTTATACTGGTCATAGAAGCCTTCAGTCATATTACTGATGATGGATGAACAGAAATACTCACTGATGCAGTGGTCTGCTGCAGGGCTTGCTTAGCAAAGCAGGCTACGTGGTTGATGATGGGGGAGAAGTTGGTGGGACCGTAGAGTTTGACCTGGGGCAGACACACCCTGTAGGCCTCCACCACACCTTCTACGCCTACACGCACACACACAAACACACACACACACACACACTTGAGATTGTCACACTGCAAACTTTTGTATATTAAGCTGCATGTGTTCTGTAGAGTCAAGATAATATTTGTTGTAACATGTCTAACAATCTTTCTACATACCTGTACAAAATGGATTTGACGGGTTGAAATTGAGAGGGAACTCATGGGAAACCTGTTCAAACACAATATCATCAGATGTTAGTTCACAAGCCTAACTACTATATATCGGATTCAAACTGCATGCAAACAGCTGCTGTGTCTTTTAGGTGCATTTGCAGTTTTTACAATTACATGCAAGTCTTACCTGCCATGTGGGAGGGATTTGGGCTCCAAAGCCAAATGCAGGAAACATCTTGTCGCTACACAGGAATGACAAAAAAACCTTAGTACGTGAGTGACAAAATATTAAGGTATATTGCACACAAAGAAATACAATCTACTAGGGAAATGTTTGTACACAGCCAATTCTTAAAAAAATGTGGAAGACAATTTGCACTAATAATAATATTGTATGAGGTTTTGAATGTGGGTTGTATGTGTCATATACCTGTCATAGTCCTGGATGACATTGCCCACAGACCAGATGGCAGAGAGGTACTCGTTAACACCCTGAGGACTGATGTAGTGCAGGGACTGAGGAGACTTGGGATCCCCGTTGGAGCCTGTGAAGTCAATAGCCACCTCCCAAAAGACATGCAGGGTTTGTTTGTGCCATGGTAATACAAGTGACTAACGAGAGGCATTGATACACAAGTCAAGACTTACGGTGAAATTGATTTGACAGCCTCCCATAATGTAATCCAGGAAGGTATACTCCTTCACCACCTAAAAGATGGAGATCCATGTTATGAAAGAGCCCATGTATCTCAAAACCAGACTACTTAACTCAGGGTGTATCACGCAAGCATTCAACACAAAAAACAGAACTATACCTGGCATGACTTCACGCTCACAACACCAGAGTTCTTGTAGCCTTTCTTCTTCTGTTTCTTTTTACTGTTCATGCATTCAAACTCTGCCTGAGGACAACACACAACAGCAAGGGTGTTATTACCAGTGGGAAGATTGTGTTCATTGTTAATTAATCTGTCCATTACTTTTTCTATTAATTGGTTTGTTTTTAGGTCTTTGAAATGTAAGAAAATTGTGTTTTCAATTGGTGTTTTTCAGAACCCAGGATGAAGCATTCAATGTCTTTACAATTAGTGAATAAAGGGGGAATATTCTAATTTGGTTTTTACATCCAAACAATGTAAACACACATACTGGAGAGGATCGCGATGCTTGTTGGAAGCGCGTCATCGTGGTCTCAAAGGTTCCAATAAGATCATGCGAGCCATCGTTGTCATAGTCATAACACTCAACCTGGAAACAGGTAAAAGCACACAGTGGAGATTAAATCAAATTCAATTCAAATGAAAAAAAGTTAAATAACTTGCATATAGAAAACAAAAACACTAAAAAGGGCCAGTTCACCTAAACTAGATAAAAATGAAGCAGTGTATTATATTATAGTTTAATATATTTTCAAAGACCTCCATTGTATTTGACTGGAAGCAGATCCAAAAAATCTGGGCAGATAAAACCAAAATGGTTTATTACATTTTTTTGTAATTTGCGTGAACTGACCCTTTATTGCAACAATTACAAATGTAGAAGTGAAAACATGCAAGTGAGATTGAAAACCTAATTCTAGGTAATATACTAGTGTGAGTGGACAGTAAAATGACTAAAGAAGAATGTGTAGTTTCAGACAAATGTATTATGACACGATCAAGTTGGATGAAGAAATCTTGTCGGGCCAGAGATTTCAGGCGGCATCGTGTATTTTTCACACTCGCTTCTACTCCATTCAACCACATCACCCGTAAAGTGATGGCAAGATGAAGAAAGACAGAGACTGTAACACACTGGGTAACTCACTTGTAGTGTATAGTTGAAAACAGCCTCCTTCCTGACATGTTTGCTTCAGAAGTTAAAAAATATACATCATGAAACTGAGATGTTCTGAGAGAGCCAACATAAGTTTGCTGTGAAAACTCTTAAACATTATCAACGGACGCCATAGCATATAGCAGGGTAAGAAACACACTGCAGATGTGCGAGTTGTTATGTTAGAAAAGCAATTACTTTTATAGGTTTGTCCATGTCTCCTCCACAGAGAGACTGCAGGGTGATCCGAAAGGGTTTCCATGTTGGATTCAAGTTGTTGTTCACCACCTGAGGACAGAATTAATGAAAATTATACAGGTGCAGACTTCCCTATCAGCACACATTTATCAAAGTCCAACTGAAAGCACATTTAACCATCCCTTTTTGAAGTCTAATTTAATGTTCACATGTTTTTAAATGTATTAAATACTTTTTAGTATTAAAGAAGAAGTGTGCCCCATAATTAGAGGTACACTTTCCCAGATGCATTGTTGTTAAGCTAAACTCCAGAACAAGACAATGGTTGATGTGTTTGAGTCAGTTAAGAAGGAGACTGCAACATGAAAGCTAATATGGGCTGTGGTTCAGTCTGAGGCTCCTGTATTGTGCAGCATGGTGCTGTCAGATGTGTCCCTGTGTTGCGACCTGGCTCAGAAGGCCACAACAAAAAGGAGACACAACACATTAACGGGTATAAAAAGGTGTTTATTTTTGCACAAACACGTCAAAATAGACACTGGGTTTACTCCTCAGAGCCGGTTGCCTGCAGGAGAAAGCAGAGAGCCCCCAGATAGGAGCAGAGAGGCTTTAAATAGCTCCAGGACACCACACCCAGGTGCCCTGAATCACCGCAATCAAGGCAATCACTGGATTCAATGCAGCACAGACGGAACAGCCACACCCTCTCTACTGATGGACCCACAGGGGCATCACAGCCTGCTTTTTGCAAATATGGTTCAAACCAAATTATGTAGATTTGAATTTAATCATGCACAAAAATGAGCATGAAGAGCACAAATGAGCATGATTTGGCTGCTCCCTTCATACACAATAACAACATCCAATTTAACATTTCTTTTGTAATATAAAAAGCCTCAGTGGTATTGGCAGCGGTTAAGTGAGAGCACAGGAAGAGGGTTACAGAACATTTGAGTTGCGAAGGGGGACTTCCTATCATTTCTTCAGTAAGACAGATGTGAGTTTTGCCATTGCAAAGGACGCGAGTGTAACACAGCTATATCACCAGTTGTTCCTCTTTTCATACAGACAGCAATAGCCGCGTTCACACAGGAGTACTTTTCCCACTTTAGTTCCAATATAGTTCCGAAATGTCGCGTTCACACCAAAAAGAGCCGGAACTAAAATTAGTTCATGAGAACCTTTTTACCCCCTTTTCCGTCCCTGCTAGAGAGCAGGGACTCCCATGCGGCTCTCTTGTGAGAAAAGAGCTATATTTCTGATTGGCTGGGCGGATTGCAAACCACGCCCCGTAAAACTCAAAAAGTGTTGTGAAGCCACCATTTTATTATCCTCGCATTAGCATTATTAGCATTAGCATTAGCCCAGCGCAGAAACGCAGAGAGACTAATTTATGGCAACACAAAATAAAACATGGGAGCGGTGGAGATGAGGAGGTGTCGGCGTTCTGGCGATTTACTCGGAAGGCTTCAGTAGA